CTCCTCCTCCTCCTCCTCCTCCTCCTCCTCTCCTCCTCCCCTCCCCTCTCCTCCTCCTCCTCCTCCTCCTCTCCTCCTCCTCCTCCTCTTCCCCTTCCACCTCCCTCCTCCTCCTCCGCCTCCTCCTCCGTCTCCTCTTCCTCCTCCTCTTCTTCTTCTTATTCTTCTTCTTCATCTTCTTCTTCTTCTTACTATTATTCTTCTTCTTCTTATTATTATCGTTCGTCTTCGTATTCTTCTTCTTCTGCTTAGTATTCTTCTTCTTTCTCTTATTATTCGTATCGTTCTTCTTCTTATGCTTATTATTCTTCTTCTTCCTATTATTCATCATCCTCTTCTTCTTCTTCTTCTTCTGCTTCGTCTTCTTCTTATGTGTCTTCTTCTTCTTCCTCCTCCTCCTCCTCCTCCTCCTCCTCCTCCCTCCTCATCGGTATCGTCCTCCTCGTCCTCCTCGTCCTCCTCGTCCTCCTCCTCCTCCTCCTCTTCCAACTCGTTATCTTCCTCCTCCCCCTCGTCCTCCTCCTCATCATCATCACCTTCAGCATCAGCAGCAGACCCACCACCATCATGAGCATCACCACCACCACCACCATCATCATCCTCAACATCACCAGCTACATCAGCATCATCAGCAACAGCAGTATCGTCATTATCATCATTTCCAGCAGAATTTTCATAATCCGCAGCATGATCAACAGCATCATCATCACCATCATCATCAACAACAACATCATCAACATCAACATCACCATCTTTATCATCAGCATCATCATCATCACCTTCCGCGCCCTCCCTCCTCCTGCTCCTCCGTGATTATCGTCCTCATCATCCTCCTCATCCTAACATTACATTGACGCATTGATTCATTCACTCGCACTCACTCACACCCAGTCACTCACTCACTCATTCATTAATGCAAGTTTGGCTCAAACGATCGTATTTGTTTAGCTGCACCCCGGGCCTCTCCTTGTTAGACATAGATGAGCGCCATAGCTGCTGATGGCCCTTCCCTTGTGGCGGCGGCTGTGCAGGCGGCGATCCGGGAGCACGCGCCGAGGCACACGGTCGCTGCTGTGGATGCTCCGGTTGCAGGCACTGTGATGTCTGCGGCTGTGCGGCCCTCTGCGCCAGCAACTCTGCACAAGGAGCGAGCTCAGGATGCACAGAGCAAAGCTGAAGACTCCGATAATCCTGCTCAAGTGTCGGAGAAACTTCGAGCTGGAAAGAAGGAGAAACGCCGGACGGCCAAGCAGGCCATGATGGCCATATATGGTCCAGCCTCTTATCTTCCTCCTGATGGCCTTCAGTCTCGCGTTGAGGCCATTCCACATCTAGCAGGTGCAGCCGGCCAAAGCGCAGACCTCGGGGGAAGTCTTGCTGCAGAGCCCGCTCTAGCACGTGCTCTACGTCCCGACCGCTCCCGTTCATCCCCCGCATCCAAGACGTACCCCCTCTGATCAGCACGCCGCCGGTTCAGCCCCGCCTTCCGTGGCGGGCATACTGCGACGAGCTGAGACAGCAGATGAGGCGAGTTCTTGCCACTTGTCACACTCTGGGGAGATCTCTTCCAGCGTCATCTGTTCCAGACCCAGATGATTCCCAATCTCGGGCGGATCCGAAGGGCGCTTCGGCAGGGAAGCTGTCTTTCTGGCCGTGGTGAAGGCGCCGGCGTTTCTAAAGCCAGTCTACCTGAGCCTTACACGGGACAAAGAAGGAAACAGCCTACTTCCTTTTCTGTTTGCGCGGTAGCCATCCATGTTGTCGCTTCCTTACGCGTTCATGTATCCAGTTGGGTGGCTGCATACGTCGAGTAGTCTGCACAATTCTTGTGTCTAGAACTATAAGTTCTTGGGGCAGTACATTTTCTGAGGGGTGCCTTTGTTTTCCTCTGCGGTTTCGCATTCCGAATGCGAGCTTCTCTTTGGCAGCGTTTGGCTGCTACAGGCGACAACTCGCCTCACTCGTTTATTGTTCCAGAGGTCAGGCAACCCCTGATTATATCCATATACTCATTCATTAATGCTTTGAGGGCAAGACGGTCGAAGCCCGAGCTAGGAAGTATCGAGTCGAAAGGGACCAGAGCGCGCTCTCTGTACAGCAACGACGCTCGGAGAACTCCACACCACTCCAGCCAGCTTAGACCGCCGTACCTGCCCACCCCCACATTCCATCCGTGGCTCGAGGGAGCCATGGGGGAAGGGGGGCCCCAGGGAGCGCGGACTAGATTATCGAGGAATCCTCGGGGATCACGAAACACACCGTCCTGGCAGGGAACGCAAAATGGGTGCCAGGATCACGGCAAGGCCCAAGGGGCTCGCCACGACAAGAGGGGTCGGGAGGTACACCCGGGACGCCACAAGCGAGGTGGCCACCGGACGCCTCGGTGCGGCTCCGCATTGCCGCCGTGACCTACGGGACAGCCCCCAACAGGACGACCAGGGAGGATAAGAGAGGACAGAGGAGGGCAGAGGAAGAGCGGAGGAGGCCGAGGGGACCGAGGGGATGGAGGAGGGGGAGGAGAAGGAGGGGGAGGGCACACAGGGGAATTCGTCCGCCTGGTCCTCGTAAAACATCGGAGCGAAGTGGTAAATACGGATCGATGGTGAGCGGCACTCGGGGCTCCTCGATTTCGACCGTTTCCTCCTCCACCGCCGACTGGAATGGGGCGCCTGAGACAACCACCGGTGGCTGCTCCGCATAATTGCCCTGTCCTGCAGACCACGGGCGCGGCTAAGCCGCTGCTGGTCCTTCCTCGGGGCCCTGCCTTCGGCATGTATCGGGGATGGACAGAGCACCCTTCAGTAAAACGTGGTTTAGTGAAAACGACCCGAGGCCCAAACCTGGCGGGCGCAAGCCTGGAAAATAACGGCTACGGCGCCCTCTCGAGAACCGAAAACGGACAATTCACTAATCGACGTGTCACTGCTGGGGGTTCTGTCCACCCCCGAGTGTAACTCTTTGGGGCTCGGCCGAAGTCCGGGTCGAATCCGAGCAGGGCGACGAGAGGCGACCCGATGTGCACGTGCCTCCACAGCCGCCCTCCCTGGCGGGGCAGTCTTGCAGACCGGTGGGGCGCGCGCTCCCCGTCACGAGGGGGAGGAGGAGGAGGAGGAGGAGGAGGAGGAGGAGGAGGAGGAGGAGGAGGAGGAGAGGAGGAGGAGGAGGAGAGGAGGAGGAGGGAGGAGGAGGAGGAGGGAGGAGGAGGAAGGAGGAGGAGGAGGAGGAGGGGAGGAGGAGGAGGAGGAGGAGGAGGAGGAGGAGGAGGAGGGAGGAGGAGGAGGAGGAGGAGGGAGGAGGAGGAGGAGGAGGTGGAGGAGGAGGAGAGGAGGAGGGACTCCTCCTCCTCCTCCCCTCCTCTTCTCATCCTCATCCTCATCCTCATCATCATCCTCATCCTCATCCTTCATCATCATCATCATCATCATCCTCATCCTCATCCTCATCATCATCATCATCATCATCATCATCATCATCATCATCATCATCATCATCATCATCATCATCATCATCATCATCATCATCCTGCTCCTCCTCCTCCTCCTGCTCCTCCTCCTCCTCCTCCTGCTCCTCCACCTCCGGCTCCTCCCCGTCCCCCTCTCCCCCTCGCTCCACATCCCTCTCCTCCGGACTCCCCCCCCTCTCACCTGCTCCCCAGGAGAGGGGAGGGGCGAGCCCAACCCCTGAAACGAGGCCAGGGCGAAGATAAATCCCTTCCAGAGCGATCCGGAGCGCTCTCGGAGCGTTCCGGGGCGCTCGGGAAAGGCCGCGGCGCTCTAGACATCTTCCAGAGCCGGCTCCAGAGGCCTACTAGATGGGGTCGGAGTGGATAGGGTCGGTGGACCGCGCCGCATCGCCGATGCATAGGCGATGCATCGGCGATGCATCGAGGGTGCATCGGCGATGCACCGGCGATGCATCCACGATGCACCAGCGATGCATCGTCGACGTCGGCGGTGCATCGGCGACGTTGGCGCGAAGGAAATCGGGCTCCGCATCAAGCCGCATGGGTGATGCATCGTGGATGCGGCGCGATCCTCCGACCCCATCTACTCCGACCCCATCTGGGAGGCCTAGAGACTCTCGAGTTATCGTCACCCGATGTTGTCCTCGTCCTGGCCTCGTCTCATACAGTGGAGGCCAGTCCACAAGAAACCTTCCACAAGAAACCCAACCCTGAGACCCTTGGACGTCCATGGATTTTTGGTGCGGGAACGTCTCGCCTTCCATGGCAAAAGCATCGAAACCCAAGAAACCCCAGGCACCCTGGAGGCAAGCAGGGTGTCCGGGGGGGGGGGGGCTCCACTGTACCCGCAAAATAGTTGCTCGCAAATGGCCTGGATCCGCCACGGGGTATGTCCTCCTACGGGCGGGCTTTGGGCGAAAGAGCAACAAAAATACCCCAAACAGCTTCAAACATAATCCAAAAATGATGGAAGCAATCGTCCCAGGCAATTTGTTTACTATTTGTAAATTGTCCCCCCGTAAGGGACACGCCCGACTTAATGTTTGACCACCTAAATCCAACCCGAATACCCGAAGTTGACCCGAATTTCGGGTTGGGGGGGTACGGGTTCCATGTGTTTTTTCAGTGTTCCCCGACCCCCCCCAACTGGAAATGGAGGGCAGATTGAAGCCTTCGGGTTGGGTTGGGGTGGTTTGGTGAGTGGTGAATGTCATACTCGTCCTGGCCTCGCCTCATACCCCAACTCTGCGCGTGGCCGCTCCCCCCCCCCCGCCAGCACGCCACGGGCTCCGCCCCGAGCGGCGCACGCGGCGCGCCCTCTCGGGTCCGCAAGGGGTGGCCGGGGAGCTGGACAGAACCCCCTTTAGCAGAACGCGCTTCAGTGAAAACGACCTCAGGCCCAAACCTGGCGGGCGCAGGCCTGGAGATTGACGGCCGCGGCGCCCTCCCGAAGACCGAAGGCGGACAACGCACTGATCGACGTGGCAGGGTGGGGGCTCTGTCCACCCCCGAGGTGGCGGGGCGGAGGCGCCGCGGCCTGCGCCGAGGCCGAGGGCGGAGCCGTAGTCCGGGAACGGCCCGAGCCCGGCGCCGAACTCCTCGCGTGGATCGGCGCGGGGGGTGCTAACGACGACGACGACGATGACGACGACGACAACGACTACGACGACGGACGAAAGCAAAGCACGACGGATGGTCCTCTGCTGATTTCGTGCTCTGCCGGCCCTCAGCGGGCCTCGGGAGAGTCCGAAACGGACCCGAGTAGAAAAACCAGTCCCAGGGAATGGGTCGACGTTGAAAAAAACATGACGATGGGGGGTGATCGGCAAGGCATGCCAAGCTGGGTTATATTTGGCCTGGCCCACGGTTGCCAGGCAGAGGTTGCTAACAGGATAGGGTCACTGCCAAGCAATGGCCTAGCAAGCGGATGCCAAGCAGTGGTTGCCTAGTGGATGCCAAGCGGTGGTTGCTGAAGGGATAGGGTCATCAGCAACGGATGCCTAGCCTACAAGCTGGTTACAGGTGCTCCAAGTGGTTCATGGGGTTAGATTACTTCGCCGAGTCCCTCCGCCTCCACCTTCCATACCTTCCAATCTCCGCGGAAACGTCATGGAAACTTTTGGCAGCTCACAGAAACCCACATCGATCAGATTGAAAAAGAGGAAGAAGGTTCGGGCGGGTCCGGAAGAATGAGGGGAGGGATGGGCGGAGCCCACCTGGCCCAGATCGGGCCCCCCCCTACGCGGCTTACGGCTCTTGTAGCCCACTGATAAAGCAGGTTAGATGTAAACCATCTTGGCATCCACTGCTAATCCCCGTATCCTCTTAGCACACCCCGTGACGATCCAAGTGTAAGCATGCTCCTCTCGAGATAACTATTTATTCCTGGGGGATTACACGTGTTACCCTGGGGGGGCCGGGGGGAACGGTACCGGGGGCCGCGGCGCGCACCCACCGAGGCGCGCAGCCTACGTCGTCGTCGTCGTCGTCGTCGTCGTCGTCGTCGTCGTCATCGTCGTCGTCGTCGTCCAAAGCCACGGCACCTGTGCACAGAAAACGGGCTCTGTACACCACAATGCCCATGTGCACCAGAACTGCTGCAGAAATGATATGTGTGCACCACGGCGACTGTATACACCATAAGAGCCGTGTGCACCACAGCGCCTTTGTACATCACACTGTCTGTGCAAACCACGGCGCCTGTGCAACACAGCTGCTGTTTCAGCACCCCCTGTGCACCACAGTGCCTGCGTACACACCACAAAACTTGCGCACACCTGAATATACCGACGGAGCCAAACTCCGAAAAATCGTTGGTCGCCCGAACGTATCAAATTCAATATGTTAGGTGATTGTGATTATGTATTTTCTGGCCCAGAGAACGCTCAGAGATATCTTGGGCCCACACGCCTGCATACACCAGCCGGCCCCTGGTCGCGCCGACACGGCAACGACTGGCCTCGCAATCGACTCGTCAATTCCCGCCGGCCACCACTCTGGGAGCCATGGTGGCAGCAATACTTGTCTGCATGAAAACGCCTATATATACACATACCGCAATGCCTGTGTACATCAAAGCAGCCGTCTGCACCGCAACGCCTGGGACTATTGACACCACAGCTGCTGTTTCAGCACCCGCCGTGTACACCTCAGCGCCGGCATTTACCACAAGGCTTGTGTACACCGGCCGGCCCAGGCAAGAGCTGAAGGCACAAGGCGCCACATGTTTTTTCAAAGTTCGGCGCTCGTGTGGCAAGGCACGGTGATCCTCCACATGTCCATCTAGCAAGTGGCCTGCAGATGTTCCACATGTGAATCCAGCCACGTATGTGTCCAGCTTCTTCGCAGCAGTGCTGCTGTGCCCCTGTGACCTGGTTGCGGCGGCAGCGGAGCTTGCGTCGAATTTCCCGCTGCGGGCAGAGATCCGCGCGGCTGGGTTCGCGAAGTGCCTGGGGTTTTACGGCCGCGACGGAGCCAGAGTCCGGGAAATCGCTGGGGGCCCGATTGTATCATATTTCGAATGTCATCTGATTGTGATTATTTGTTGTCCTGGCCCGAGGAACGCTCGGACATTGTGAAACCACAGCGAATGTGAAACATAACGCCTGTGTGCACCACAAGGCCGGTGTGCACCACAAGGCTTGTGTACACCAAAATGCCCGCGTCCTAGATGCGGAAGGAAAACGACGACGAGGAGGACGAAAATGAAGTTGGAGGAGGAGGAAGAACTAGGAAGAGATGCGAGGGCACTTCATGGCCCACAACGCACACTTACATCATAGCGGCTTTGGTCACTACAGCGATTGTGTACATTACGGCGCCTGTGTACACCAAAAGGCTTGTGATGTGTGCACCGCAATGCTTGCGTACACCCACTATGCCTGTGTACACCACAGCTGCTGTTGCAAAGACAGTTAGTTGTGTGCGCCAGAAAGCCAGTGTACACCGCAGCGCCTGCGCACACCATAGTTTACGCCCGCGTGCACCGCGGCACCAGTAGTGCCCGAGTGCACCACAAGCCCGAGGCTGCCAGGGATCGCGCACTGGAAAAGGCCGGGGCGTTACCATTACAGGGGGGGGCAGGGAGGGCAACATGTGTTACCCCTTGGGTGAATAAGAAAATGGTATCCTCTGGACTGATGCGAAAATAATTTAAGCACCTCCGATATTTTGGGAACGCAAGACGAAGGTGTTTCGCCGTTTTCGGCATCTGTGGCCCTGGGCCAAACAAAAACTGCCCAGGACGAGGAGCCCGCTATGGGAAGAGGGTCGGGACTTCCTGGGACTTCCGGGAACGGCCCAAACCTAGCGCCAAACTCCTTGGGGCACGATCTTCTCTGGACTCATCGGGCTGAACTGGCCTCCGAAACCTAGGGCTCCCAACTTCGCGCTTCGCGCTGCGCGAAGCGCGAAGCGCGAATAACTTCGCGCTCTCGCGCCGCCCTCCCAAAGGGAGAATAGGAGGACGAGGAGGAGGGGGAGAAGGAACGAGGACCGCGAAGCGCGAATAACTTCGCGCCCTCGAGGGAGCCCTTGGAAACGTTCCTGGTGAAGGGTGTCTTTCGAAGGCGCCATGAAATGACCAAGCTCCGCGGACGCACTGTCCCCCTTGCCTGGACACGAAGCGGACGACGACGACGACGCAGCAACAATCACAACAATCATATTACGGCAGGTTCGTGTCGTGCCGACTTCGGCGTTGGTATTTGACGCCGCGGGGATCGTTCAACCTTGAACGATCGGCTGTCTCCGCAACGTCCGATCGTTTAACATCGACCGATTCTGGGTCGCCCGCGGCGTTCAAAGTTGAACGTCGGCGGCGGGGTCGCCGCCGGTCGACACGACGCGAACCTACCGTAAGACTGTTCGCTCTGATCCGCTCGCAGGCCCTTCAACACGTATATACCAAACCCTCGATACCCGCTTTCTTCGTCATCGATCGTACCCCTTTTTGGATCTATTCATTTCGCAACTGCAACTCGTATTTCGCGCAGCCCCTAAGGCAGAGGAAGAGAGGACGAATGGAAAAAGGAACGAGGGGGTGGGAGAAGGATGGAGCAAGAGAGAGAGAAGCAGGGGGACCAGGAACAGAAAACACGTGGCAGAAACAGACGGGCAGATCGGTCGGCTAGACCCTTATGGGCAGGTCGGGAAGGAGAACCCAAGCGACAAAGTCGAACAAGCAGGTTGCTGAACCGTGCGTCCTGCATGAACCGCGAGGAAGTCTCAAGCCAGCGCGATTCCCAAATAAATCGTCAGCAAATCCAGGACGAAAGCGTGATTCCTGAGTGTCGAGGGCGCGGCGTCTGAGTAGATTGCAAAGAAGTCCCACGCGAGAATGCGATTCCTGTATTGTTGTAAACTGGCAGCCAAGGGCCTAATTGGTGACCCCTCGCTTTCCCTCGGGTTACCGGAGAGGGAGGGATCAACAGCAATTCTTCTTCGGAAATGAGAACTGTTCCCCAATCAGTGCTTGCACTGAAGGGGTCCTAGCGGATGTTGAAGGATTTGGTGAAAAATCCCCGCCGATTTTGGTGGCAGGCTGGGTCCCGGGTTCCCGGTTCTGGGTTCCCGGGTTCCCGGTTCCGGGTTCCGGGCCGATTTCGGAGGGCGGCGATGTTCCCGGGTTCTCGGGTTCGTGGTCGATCTTCTTACCGATCGGCCTCACCATCGATCTCATGACCGACTTCTCGATCGATCGCACCATCGATCTCACAATCGATCTCACTATCAATATCACAAGCAATCTCACTGGAGATCGCATGAGCGATCTCGCGATCGATCTCACTATCGATCTCATTGAATCGATGTCACTCTCGGTCTCACGATCGACCTTACAATCGTCCTCGCTATCGATTCCACTATCGATCTCATCATCGATCTCACAATCGATCTCAAGATCCATAGTACCAATTGTCAAATCGTCCACTGATTGGGGTTTCTCCGGTGTAACTGTTGGCGAGGGGCACAGTTTGAAGACACCTCCTTCTCCCTTGTACAAACAATGTGGGCAAGACCCTGGAGAAACACTTTCAGTGAAAAGCAAGGAACAGCGTTTGCCGGAGAAAGAAGACCAACAGCACATCTGCTTTAGAAAAAATCACCAACAGCAGCAGCAAAGGCAATCAAAACAACCAAAACCATACTTTCAAGACTGATCGCTCTTTTTCTGCTTGCGCGTCATTCAACACGTAGATCCCAAACCATCGATACCCGCCCTCTTCGTCTTCGATCGTACCCCCTTGGGGGTATGCATCTTTCTTACCTGCAACGTGTGCTTCGTGCAGCTCTTGAGGCAGGGGAATAGGACCGAGGGAAGGAAGGGACAAGGGGGAAGGAGAAGATGGAGCACAAGAAAGAGTGGCAGGAGGGGGACCGGGAGCAGAAAACACATGGCAGAACTGGAAGGCGGGTCCAGGCGGCCAGGTCGAGCAGGCGGATTGCTGAAGCGTGCGTCCCTGCATGAATCGCGAGGAAATCTCAAGCCATAGCGCGGTTCCCAAATAAATCGTCAGGAAATCCACGGCGAGAGCATGATTCCTGTGTCGAGGGCGCGGCGTCTGAATCAATTGCGAAGAAGTCCCGCGCGAGAGCGCGA